AACAGTCACTTATGCTTTCATTATATGGATATGCCATTATTATTGAGATATTTTTGCATGTGTGTGGTCTTTCAAATATAGGGTTTATATGTACAGCACATTTGAATTAGGATTAGCCATATTTTAAGTGCTCAATGACCACATATGGCTAAATGGCTGCTGTATTAGGCAGTGCACTCTTAGGATTTTCTCATCAGCTTCTGCTATCTTCTCCCCAGTGCTATACCCCTTCAATTTTATCTCAACTCTCTTTCATAGTACAGTCTTAAGACTAATATTTTTTACTATTTGGGAATTATTGGCTTTTCCCAGACAAATAGGACATCCCTGGCTTTAATAGTCACTTCTTTGTTTACAGCTTACACTCAGAGCATTGTTTTTTTTTTTGTTTTTTTTTTTAAATATATTTTATTGATTTTTTACAGAGAGGAAAGGAGAGAGATAGAGAGTTAGAAACATCGATGAGAGAGAATCATCGATCAGCTGCCTCCTGCACATCTCCCACTGGGGATATGCCTGCAACCCAGGTACATGCCCTTGACCGGAATCGAACCTGGGACCTCTCAGTCCGCAGGCCGACGCTCTATCCACTGAGCCAAACCGGTTTCGGCTCAGAGCATTGTTTTTAAACTATGTGTGATTTTTTTAATTATATGTAATTATTAATTGTGTTGTATAAAATGTACACAACACAAAATTTACCATTTTAAGTGTACATTTCAGTGCCATTAAGCACATTTACATTGCTCTACAGCTATTGCTACCATCCATCTCTAAAACTTTTTCATATTTCCAAACTGAAACTCTGTACCCATTAAATATTAACTTCTCATTCTCCCTTCTTCCAGCTCCTGGCCACCATTATTCTACTTTCTGTTTCTATGAATTTAAGTACTGTAGGTATCTCACTTAAATAGAATTATAAATTATTTGTCGTTTTGTATCTAGTTTATTTCACTTAGTGTAATGTCCTCAAGGTTCATCCATGCTTGTGTCAGAATTACCTTTAAGGCTGTACAGTATTTCACTGTATGTATACATCACATTTTGTTTATTCATTCATCCATTGATGGATGCTTTGTCTGATCCCATTTTTTGGCTATTTTAAGTAATGCTGCTATGAACATGGGTATGCAAATATCTGTTCATGTCTCTACTTTTCATTTGTTTTTGTTACATATCCAGAGGTAGAATTTTTGGATTATATGGTAATTCTAATTCAATGTTTAATTTTTTGAATAATCACCATATTGTTTCCTACAATGGCTGAGCATTTTCTATTCCTACCAGCAATGTACAAAAGTTCCAGTTTCTTCACATATTTGCCAACACTTATTTCTGGTTTTTTTTGTTTGTTTGTTTTTAGTTTTTGTAATAGCCATCCTGCATTTGTTTTTATTAGCATTTTTGGATGACATTAGTAATAGTAGAGGTAACACCAAGTTGGATATTGATTGATATATGGGTATACTAATATTATCTGATATAAAACAGTCATTTGTACATTTATTTGATGAATGGCCTTTATGCTTTTATTAACTTCTCTCAATTAGGCATTTTAAACCCTACATTCTTATTGTCTTGGTCACTACTAACCATTTGAATTCAGGGAAGTTGCTTAATTTCTTTGATATTTACAAAAACAGGAATAAAATTTTCTCATGGGCTTATTATAATTATCAAATGAGTTAATCAATTTAAAATGGCTTTAAAAACCTTTAAATAATACATATATTAAAGGGATTAAAGTTGTCTTTAAGAGATTATCATTGTGGTTTTTGAGTACATCATAGTGATTTTGGTTTACATTTTGGATTTAAAGTGTGCTTTATAGAACAGGCCTGGGGATATATGTGTTTTTACAGCCAATTAGGTGACAGAGTACTGAAAAACTGCTTCCTGACATCATGTGACTAACTTTCCAACTAAATCACTTCATTACTTCTTCCAAGTTCTCCTATGCACTAACCAGTTATAAATACATGGCTATATTTAGCACATATAAATATATGCTTTAATTTTAGAGATTTTGACACTATTTATAAGAGAAATACAGGTAAGAAACTTTAAGATTCCAGTAGAATCTTCCATAAGGATCTTCTGTCTTTTGTAAAAAAAAGACAAAAAATGTAATTACCACTTGCACCATCTTAAAATTACAGGATCAATTCTTTCTGAGTTAGTTTTCTCTGTACACTTTGCTACTTAGGTTAGGCCAAAGGCGATTAGTCCTTTAGGGATATTTGAGGACCCACTTAGTGCAGTAATTGAAATATTTTAAAATCCCATTTAAAAATACATATGTATGATTATAAGATTTTTATCCTTTATTTTGTTAATGTGGTGTACCACGTTGATTGACTTACATATTTACATATTTTACATATCCTTATACCCTGAATAAGCCACACTTGATCGTGTTATATTATCTTTTTAATGTATTATATTCTATTTGCTAGTATTTTTTAAGGACTTTTGCATCTCTATCCTCAAAGATATTGGTCTGTAATTTTATTATTTCGTGTGGTCCTTGCCAGGTTTTAGTACCAGGATAATGTTGGCCTCAATAGATGCAGAAAAAGTATTTGACAAGGTATAATATCCATTTATGATTAAAACACTCAATAAAATGGATACAGAAGGAAATTGCCTCAATATAATAAATGCCATATATGACAAACACTCAGCTAATATCATACTCAATGGTGAAAAACTGAACCTCTAAGATCAGGAACAAGACAAAGGGTCCAGCTCTAACCACTATTATTCAAGAGAGTTCAGGAAGCTCTAGCCCGAGCAGTCCAGACAGGAGAAAGAAAGAAAAGACATTCAAATTAAGAATGAAGAAGTAAATTCTCTCTCTTTTTTTTTTAGATGGCATGATTCTTAATATAGGAAAAACCCTAAAGACTCCATCAAAATAAAATTATTAGACAAATACAGTAATGTTGTAGAGTATATAATCAATATACAAAAACTTATAGTATTCCTATATACTAACGATGATATTTTAGAAAAATAAATGAAAAACAATTCCACTTGCAGGTGCAACAAAAATAATAAAATACCTAGGAATAAACTTAATAAAGCATGTGAAGGACCTACACACTGAAATCAATACATTTCTGAAAGAAATTGAAGAAGACACAAAGAAATGGAAAGATAATCGGTGTTCATGAATTGGAAGAATCAACATAGTTAAAAGGACCATATTACCTAAAGCAATATACAGACACTAGTGCCCTGGTGCTTAGTGAAAGGAAATTAATTAGAAGGTGGCCAGCGGGGTGGGACTGGGCGAGATGATGGAACAGGCCCTAGAGCCAACCTCTTGCAGTCCCTCCTCAGCCAGCCACACCTGGGGTGGTGCCACGGCTCAAAGGACATCTGCAGAGTGAGCAGGGATCCCTCCAGCATGTGGGGTCCCTCAGCCTGGCCTGTGGAAATAGGGCTGAAACTGACTCTCCAACATCCCCCGAGGGGTCCTAAATTCTGAGACGGAGGTTCTCAGGTTACACACCCCGGAATCGGGCTCCCTCCTCTCTGGTTCCGGATGTGTCACCTAAGAATCACCACTGCCAAGTCACCTCAGCTCGCAGTTCCTGAGTTGAGTGTCTGCTCCCTGGTGGTCTGTGTGCATTAGAGCTACCAGTTGGAGCGTCTGCCCCCTGGTGGTCATTACATGTCATAACTACCAGTCGTATGGTCAGATGGTCACTTAGCCTTTGTCGTATCCACTGCCCTTCCACTTCAAACCTGTTAGAATGGCTATTATCAACAACACAAGTAACAACAATAAAAATGCTATTTTTCAGATTGAAAACGTGCCTAAATTCACAGAGACAGAAAGTGGCTGAATAATCATGTGGCCCCAGGCAGTGTGGCTCCCAAATTGGTCCTCTTATCCATGTACAACATCTATTCAGTCACAGCCACGCTCTCTCAAATGCCAAGGCAAAGCCCAAGGAAAGAAGTATATTTGATTAGAAATACCATTCAAATTAGCTAAGCATTGTAGCGATGGTTCAATAAGTGGAGGTACTTAGCTGTTGTTTCTAAGTCAAGGATGAAAATAACTCCAGATATTTAAGTGAAATATTCCATATGCTCTTCTACAGTCACATATCTATCTCACAACAATATAATGAATCTTATTAAATGTGTTCAATATGCTGATCATATTTTATGAGAATAAGTATGACTTATAAAACACTGTTCTTTCTGTGTAATAATCTAGCAACAGCCATGATAATTTACAGATGAATGAGCTTCAGAGCCAGTCAGAACAATGGAGGAGAAAATGAACCGTTTATATAGATGTGAACTGAAATCACATGGTTGCATAATCACTTTTCCTATTGCTGAATAGCTAAGAAGCCATGGATTATATTCATTACCTTTGGTGAAGGAAATCTGGAGTACTTGGAAAAATTGTGTGTGTGTGTGGGGGGGTATTTTTTCTTTTCCTTTTTTTCTGACTTCTCTCCCATTATCATTTCTTACATAGGATACTCTGAAAAAGGACAATAACTATTTCAATTTACCACAACAGTGTCCTATATTTACAGTGGGGTAAGATTAGAAGCATGTATTAAGGATTTTTTTCCTACCCAAACTAAATTGCAGACTGAGGACTAAGAAACAAAATATAGTTTTCTATTCTCTAAATGTTATACCCTTAGTGTCTTCTCTAACTCTAGATGAAAATCCTGTAGTGTAGGTTAGTAGGGACTGAAGTAAGGACTGAAGCCTTATCTATAAGGGAAAAGGAATCACTCATGTATCTGCGGTTCAAGAAGACTTAAGAGGTTGTACTCATAGAATTGGAAGAGGATCACGTGTATTCATTAAATGTATCACCCAGTTAAAACTTGTTTTTACAGTGGGAAGAAGAGCTCGTGATGAGAATTGTGAATAATAAACTGTAATTTGAGATGTTTATAGAGGCCAAATTGATGCCTATAATTATAACAAGTAATTATTGCCATTTTGCTTTCCAGTGTGTATGTACAGAGAGCCATCGCTACATGAAATTGGAGAAAAACAAGGGCGTTCGAGGAAAAGTTCTGGAACACCAACCATGAATGGAGGCAAAGTTGTGAATCAAGATTCAACATAGCTGAGAACTCTTCCCTTTGTCCCTCTCTCATCCCTTCCCTTTCCCCTTCTCCTTTACCCATTTTCTTCCAATAAATCCACCCAAGGAGAGAAAAATAAAATGGCAACACAGGACCTAGTGGCTTCCAAAATCTTCCTTTGTTTAGGACAGGAAAATTGAACCCAAGCTTTCCTGTTGCAGCGTGGTAGAAAATGCACATGCACAAAGATTAGCACACATATAAGCAAGGGGAAAATAAATAAAGACTCCACAAACATTAAAGTAAATTGTGCATTTATTACTAGAGGGCTAATTGTAATGAAGACATAACTGTAATAAAGAAGAAATAAAGTTACTACCTTAAAGAAAAGGGCTTTGTAGAATTGAACTTACAAATTGATGTAATACCCTAAATAGCTTAAGCTCTTGGTAATGCTGTGATGAGTGCTTTGTTTTGATTTTGTATTTTCTTTGGGTATCTGAAATTAACACATTATTACATCCTGTTTTCAGGATGTTTTTAAACCATGATATTGAACATTTACTTATAGATTTTTAATGCCTCGAAGATATGTAATAAGGAATCACTTAACATCAAGAAAAATTTAAAAATTTATTTTTGAAGTTATTATTTAAAATTGTTTTAGACAAAGGATAGTCTTCTGTTGAATCTAATGGTATTAACAAATTTAATTTCCTTCATAAAAAGTTTCAGATTCTCTTAAGAGATTGTCATATTTTTATCAAAGATATTAACCTAGGATCTCATTTTTTTTTTTTTAGTAATTTAGATAATTTTTTTTCTAAGACTGAAGTAAATTTTTGGAATTATTTGTTATTACCATGCCTGGGCAATGATGTACAATTTACATGCTCTTACTATTTGGTCTGATTTTTGACTTTGTGGACAACTTTGAGAGTATAGGTGCATGTCTAGTTGTCTTAGAGAGAATTTTTATCATCTCTTGCAGCAGGAAAGAAGGAAGAGGAATTTTACATAAGAAAATACACCCTAGAAAATTGGTCAAACCATATTATGTCTGCCTTTGTAACTTACCAGAGTTTTATGTATACAGCATTTTCCAAGCTCTGCCATGATGTTGGGAGGCATGGCTGTGAAATTCCTAACTTACTATTTTATGAAGCAGATGGATACATATCCTTGTTTATAAGTTGAGGTGACAATAAGTGTGTTTCCTTGGGTATTTGTAATAGACTTAATTTTTCAGGGGTTTAGAGGAACAATATGGAATTGACAGCTATGGTTTCAACAGACAGGGTTGTATGGGCAGTTTAAAGTAGTAAAAAAAAAAAAAAAAAAACTCAGTGTAAGGCAAATGCATAGTTAGGAATACTGAAGTATTAGAAAATATTAGGGAAGAAATTAACATTATTCACTTGCCTTGGAAAAAAATAGATCTACTTAGTCCTACAAATCAGGAATGGTATAGAGACACCCAAATTAAAGTAAAGCAAAACAGAATGTTAGAAAAATGTATGCTGATTCATGGATATTATTGAGAAGACTTAGCATGTTACTTCTCCTGTAATTCTACTGTTTGGCATGTATTGCTCCAAATATTACTCCCTAAAATGTATACTCTTTGAAGACACTCTAGGTCCTCACTTCAATGACCTTGCCATTGGTTGCTGTATTCTTTCAAGGTCACCACAGTTTCTCTCACTCTACACAATCATTATTCTCCAATAGTGGTTCCTGTACTTCACCAAGTATTCTATTAATGTTATCAGGAGATTAGCAGAAAACAAAATGGAAGAATTTGCCTAATCAATTGCAAAGGATGAAAGTTATGTATCTAGGCAAGGATTTTGAGCACAAATTTGCAAGAAATATTTGTTTAACCAAAATACTTGGAAAGTAACAAATAAAGACATTGAAATTAAAGAAAAAAGGGAATGTTGGAAAAGAATGCCCTTGTAAAAAAAACAAACACACAAACAAACAAACAAAAACCTGGTTGTATTTCTCCTTGTCACTCTTGATTCAACTTGATTATAAATGCACCTGTCACTTTCAGGACCAAACAAATCCCAAGCACAAAGCCTTATTTTCTTTAAAGACATAAAAAGGAGACTTCTACAAAATGGGTCACAGGCTCATTTAGCATGAAATGACTTATGGGGCTATGTCCACACGCATGTATTCACTCACCACAAACTCATTAGTAACACCATTTTCACAAAGTGTTATCAATTACTCAGATGACTTCATGACAGAATACATTTAATCCAGTTAAATATTATGAAAAATATGATAGAGGTATGAATCTCCAATAGAATTCTTCCCTGTGTTTTCAGCGGCTGCTTGTTTATCATCTAGAGTCATTTGTTTCCTTCCTAACAGCAGTTAAAAAGCAGAGTTCTAACTCCCCAATTTCTATATATTTTTTTCCTCTATAGCATTTAAGCAAATGTTCATCACAGTAAAAATGTTTGGATGTTAGCTTTGTCTTAGTTACAGTTAAGTTCAGAGAATAAGTCAGAAACATATTACATTATCACATGAACGTGACTGTGGTTTAGAGCACAGGTGAGCATTTGCTTAACTACTGCTTCCTTTGTGAGCACCCAAAACCTGTCATAGAAAATGTCAGTATTCACAGTCTAGGTTTTTTTTTTTAAATTAGCAAATGTAAACATAATTATCTGGTTTTCTCCAAAAAATATGAGCCAGTTTAAATAGTTTATTTTCAGGTTTATTCAAGTAAAATAATTCTTTACTTTGATATATTCATTATTCCAAATTCTGGGTCTCAATTCATCCCTCAATTATTCTCCTATAAGTGAAGTAAGCTTTTTTAAAAAAATTAATTCTCAGGAGAAACATGACTTCTAGCAAAGCTTTGTAATTGGCTCTGTACCTATATGTTAATACATGTTTTGCCCAAGAGTCCTTATTATAACATGTTTTGAAATCACTGGGCTTAAGAATGAGAACAAAACTTTTGAGACTCTCACAAAATAGTTTTCTGGTCAATATACCCAACTTGCTTGTTAAGCTAGAAGTTTGAGGTCTTGAAACAAAATGGTGCTTTAGCTCCATTTGCTAATTCAGAGACTTTTGTGACTCTGGAAACTGGAGGACAGCAAGCAAACCTATTCATGATCGCAGTAATAGTTTGGGTTGTGGATTTTACATATGAATTTTATAGCACATTTTTAGCCACAAAGATCTGGCCCAATAAAGAGATGTCAATTGATTAACATTGTGATGCCTTATGGACCTCCTTATAACCCAGATAACTTTTTCGAAGAACTGTGTTGAAGACAATGACAATGCTGTAGATAGGTATTATATATAGATGGGTGAGCTTGTGGTGCCTCTAGAAAGAGATGAGAATATTAAGACAAAGTCAAAGGATCAAGAATGGCTTAACATGTATTGAAAAGTTTGAAGGTCCTAACTTAGGACCACTGATTTCTTGGTGAAGAAGCATGACTACATCAACAGTAATTTTTTTTAAACACAGACCCAGAAATAATGAATCTATTATTGCACTTTTATGGCTTAATGTACCAGGCCTTGCTCTGAGAAAGGTTTCCATGAAGTTGCTTCATTTCATCTGCACAAGGTGAAACACATTCAAGCATAAAAAAATCCCCCGCTCATTGTAATATCATAAAAAGCTGAGATTGTAAATAGCGTTTTTTAAAAATCAGAATCACATTTAAAACAGTGGATTGTTCTACAAATATATATGTGTAAATATACATATGCTTCTGAAATAAGGACTTATTATATAGAATTTTTATTTGATTTGTGGTATTTAGTTATAGGTAATCAAAAATAAAGAGATTTGAATGTAAGACTTTATATATAAATGTATATTTCTAATGATAGTATAAATTGCCACTTTATAATAAAAGAAGAAACAAGTGAGAACAATAGTCAAAGCACATGCTCCTTCAGAGCTTCATGATCTGAATCCCCTTTTTGATGCAGAGGCAATTATTTTTTTATTTCTAAAAAGTTATATTATAAACCTATACCTCCTGAAACAGATTCCATGATAAGTCATAGCAAATTGAAAATTTATGTTTGAGGGCAGGAAAAAGATGCTAAACTCTGATCTTTATTTTTTCGGGATTTTTTCCTGGAGCCCAAGTTAAATATTCAATATGTAAGATCTAAAATAAGTGAAAATTGGTAATGTTCAGAGATGGCATGTTGATTTTTGGTATCAAACAGAAGCAAAAATATATTTGACATTATACTAATAGCATAAAATAGTGTCATAGATTTCACCATTAGATGTTTTATTAGTTGGAAAGAATGAATTGATGCTTCTTTGTCTTCGCTCCAAGCACAACCTAAAAAGACAGTGACATTCATTTCACGTAAAGTTGTTCAAAAGTCCAAAATATACTCCCATGAGTAGAATCGGTATTAGCTCCATTACAAGGTTCAATGTTGCAATCTTAAGAAATTATTGACACTGAAATGTTTAATAAACATGTTGTATGAGAAACTGAACAAATTCATGTTTTGTTTTTGCATTAAAGCACAGACTATTCAAATTATGGCTTTTTGAGATCAGATTTGTAAAATGTTTATACATCCCAACCTTCCTAAACTAAAAAGCAATTATAATCTTGAGATGCTCATGCATGTACATAAAATACTTGCACTTTTTTTACATTAAATTTCTTTGGGAAGTGTCTCTCCTTTTTTTAATGTGTTTATCCTATAATGTCACTGAAAAAGTGCTGTGCCTTATTAAAAAATAAAAAAAAATGCTTTTATAGGTGGGGAATTAAGTAAAAAAATTTTGAACACTGCAGTCAAAAGTAAAAATTAGTTTCTAAATATGAAGTTACTGTGGTAAATCTAACACTTCTCTTTTTTAAGATTAAAAAGTAGAGCACATTCATTTATTCATAATTTACTACATACTCAGTTGAGTTTAGGGATCATACACTAAATTATAGTCTCCCCAAATCCCAAAAAAAGGCAGAAATATAAATAAATAATGTAATACTAGAAAGTGTTACAAAAGGTATATTACTAAGATTTTGTTGTTGTTAATCCTCACCTGAGGATATTTCCCATTGATTTTTAGAGAGAGTGGAAGGAGACGGGGAGAGACAGGGAGGGAGAAACATCAGTGTTAGAGAGACACATCAATTGTTTGCCTCCCAAAACTGAGATATGTGCCCTTGTCCGGAATTGAACCCTGGACCTTTTGGGTCGTGGGTAGATGCTCTATCCACTGAGCCAAGCATGCCAGGATCCTTAGATTTTATATACAACTGATTATGCAACAAGGACACCAAGGATTGGTGGGAAGACAAGGATTGAAAAAAGATTAAGTTTTACTGAGTAATAAAAGACAATAAGTAGGGGAAATGTGTTGAAGAAAAGTTATGTAGACAAAAAAAATAGGACTTGCTTAGGAAATACTTATGAATGAAACAAGGAAAGAATGTTCAGATGAGGTGGTGGGAGGCGGGTGGGAAACTGAGTTGAGATTAATAAAAAGGAAAAGTTATTCAAAGTTTGGTCAATGCACTCTGGATGTGTTTGAGCCTTGTTATTTGTTAGGATTCTGGCTGCATCATAACAGAATCTCCAAAACAAATGGCCTTCATCTAGGGGTTCACAGTATTATTGCTGAGACTTAATTTGCCCATTGTTCTCTCAGCCCTGCTACATCCATTTATAATGCCTTCTCTCTTGGAGCCAGGAATTCTTTTACAAGTTGCAGACACCACATATTTATGACATCTATTTTCTTTTATAATCCCCCAGAGAACATCTCCTCAATCCTCCCAAATTGGGCCTTCAGTCCATAACTGAATGAACTACTGTAACCAGGAATTTGAGATATGTTGACTGGTTTCAGTAATCTGGCTCCTTTACCTAGACTTATAGGTGGGAAAGTATTTTTCCAAAGATACAGGTCTGCATAGATGAGCGATGAATATTTGAATGAAATTCAGAGTGACTTATTAAGAGGAAATGAAAATGAATGATGAGTAAAAAACAAAACAAAACAAAACAAAAACAAAAACAAAAAACAGCAAAAAAACTCCATAATCTATTAATGAATATAATTCCTAGAACAGCTGATTGGATAGTCAAAAAACTGGCAGAGAATTTCAAAAATGTTGATGACTCAAAGCCACTTTCATAGGCCAGGAGGTATTAACAAAGGCATTGAGGATTCAATTCCTTTAGCATTATGAAATGCCTGCTATGCCAAAGGTACTGTGAGGGTCACTGAGGAAGCTATAAACAGATGCAATTATAAACAAAAGTGATCCATTGGACAATAGCTCAATATATCTAGTATGGCCAATGCATATAGATGACCATCAC